GAAACAAGAAAACAAGCATTAAAATAAATCTGAAACGAGCACACAATACAAGAGAAAGAGTTTAACAAAGTCCTCCTCATCGCGAGAGGAAAAATAAGAATATAATAATTCGGAATGGAATCGTTTGAGAAAATGCGGAGAGGAAACTCGACGTCCTGCTGCCGGTATTGTGTGAAGAAAAGAGGGATGAGGAGTCGGCGGTGGGACTCGACAACAACATCTGAATATGTTTGATAACAACTGCTTTTAAGCTCACAAAACAGTATGTGAAAGAAGTGAAGCTTTTATTTTTTCCTCGAGTTTCTTTTATTTCATCCTCTATCTCACAGAAAAGTCCACTTTCTTCTGAAACGTCTAAAGTAATCTCACAGATGGAAGCCATAAACCTATATTACTCGGAAAAGACTTTTCTATTTCTTTTTTCCCTTCTTATAAAAATTTAATATTACTTTCGACGAGGGGTCGCTCTAATAATACATACTCTCTTATTATTGCAAAAACACACCTGAAACCCCACCTGGACACTACACGAAACATTTCAATATAACTGCTCAAAGTAAATTTTAAATCATTTAACAGTTTTCGGAAACTTTTAATCCAAGATATCTGGAAAATCTGCAAAGTGGGTCACGTCCGGAAGTTACAATATTTTATTGTTTAAATTAATCTACGCAAGAGTTTGAAGCAACATGTTTAACAAGAAATAAGTAAATAATTTTTTTATTAAACTGTCCATTTTCATTGAGCTGAATAACAAATTAGCAGTAAAATTTAAAACGATTATGTTTAGCTTCTTCAAAGTTATCTCTCTATTACGTCTAATTTTTTTATCTGAGCAGAATTTTATAACCAGAAAAAAATTAAAATTTTTAAAATTAAAATGATTGGGCAAAAGCTTTGAGTTTATTTGAAAATAAATACGTATTTGTGTAAACTGACCATTAATAAATCTACTAAATTTCACTAATTTCTAACAAAATTTTTAATTCTGCCTTCGCACGTACAGGTGCTCCAGAACTGGCGCTCCAGAGAAAATTTTCAAGTAAGGTAAGATACCAAGAACATGAAAAAAATGTTTAAAAAATTCTAACTGTCAAAAAATTTTGACATTTATTTTTTGACATTTGACATTTTTTTATATCTATTTAATGATAATGATGATCTTGTATATGTTTTTTTACAATTATTTAGTAAAGGGACAAAAATTTTGACAATAAAAGCCACAAATAACATTGAACAAAGTTACAATTTAGGATATAGTTTCCTTGTTTCCTCTTTTAGTAACCTTTTTTTTTACATTTTTTCCATGTTCCTGGTATCTTACCTTATATGGCATTTTTCTCTGGAGCGCGAGTTCTGGCGAACCCTGTATAAGTAATTATAAAAAAAATCGAACATAAAATAAGCAAATTATAGTCTGAGTCAGTGGCGCAGCACCCCCCAGAACAAAATCAGGCAAAATTATTTTGTAGTAGTACTAAAACTAAAACTATAATTTAGAAACAACCAAATTAAATATTCTAATTTTGTATACATATAATTATTTTCGATATTGTCATAACTGAATATAAATCTTCTGATTCACAGATTTTTACTTTTTTTATTTTCATTATTTTAAATTGCGGCAAAACTGTACCTCAAACCTTATATTTAACATCCATATGTAGAATATTCCAAGAAATCGATTGGCGTCAAATAAACTGAAAAATTTTTGATCGTTTAGAAGTTATAATTGAATTAATATTTTAGATAATAATTGACTTTATTAGCAATTTTCTCGATAACTATTGAACGTAGGAGAATTATCTTTTTTTTTATATGATAAAAATTAAATTTATTTTGTACTCAATGTTAAAGAGTGATTTTATCAATTAATTTCAGTAGATAAAGTAGTTTTCTTATTGTCTTGTGAAATAAAGTAATTTTTATCTACTATTTATATTCAATAAATTCTGGTAGGTGATTACAAAATAAAACGAAATATTATACACGACGACAAAGATTGTTTATCTACTCGTGAAACAAGTCCACTCGTAAACTTAACCTTTTCATTCATAGATAAACAATTTCTTTATCGTCTTGTAATAACTATTACTTTCCAACGATACCAAACAAAAAAGACTAACGTCAGTAATTCCGAAGTTATTAGCAACGGATACCGAAAATCGCCCAAAATTTCGACAAAAATCGAAAAAATTAAAAGCTTCAAAATTAAACCATTTGCACTCTTGGGGGTTCAATACACTTAAAAAAGTACAAAAACGTTGTGAAAATAAAAGAAAAAAATTTTTGAAAAATTTTGTGGAAGTCTGTTTGAATATATTGCGTTAAAACATTGAAATATTGTCAGACGGTGTAAAGAAAGATGAGTTTTGCAATAAAAATATTTTTTTTTGTACATAAAAACCCTATCTGTGGCTACCCTATCTATGTCAAAATATAAAACAGTAGTATACACTATGACAACTATCAACGCAGAATTTTAGTTTTTTTTAGTTCTATAATTATTTTGTTAGAATTTAACTTGTGTAAATTGAACGTGATGATAATAATAATAATCTAACCAGATGTAAATGTAATTTTCAAATTTCTAAGCAAACTTAATAGGTCCTTCCCCCTCTCTTATACGAATATACCTAAATCAATTATTCTTAAATATGAAATAAGCAATTTAAGCAATAATATTAGCAAATATCTCAAAATGAATAATATCGCACTATAACATACATCACATCCTGAGCAGGATTTTACATATTATAACAATTTATTGTTCAAATTCAAACTGAGCAAAAGTCCATAGTTAAGTCTAATCTAAGCGTAAGTAAATCATGATAATATCACCAACAGAAAAGCTAATATTTCTCTTTATAACTATTAAAATTTTCTAATATGAACAATTGAAATTGAGCAAATAGTCAAGATGAATAATTACTGACATCCCAAATTTGAGCTGAGCAAAAGATGCGTAAACTGAGCAATGAGCGATGTAAGACCAATAATTGTCAAATAATCTGAGCAAATACCTCAATATAAATTATGACTCACTATGACATATTATTTTGAGCATAATTTTAAGTCTTCTATCTGTAATCAATTTTTGAGACTTAAGCTGAGTTCGAGTTATTTAAACGAAAGTTAATAAACGTAAAATAATCAAATACCCCGCCGCCTAATCACCGTCATAACATTGAAAAAACTCCATTAAAAGATAAATTACGAGCGCAATAATCAGTACTCGGATACTCAACAAGGTGTATTAATTCAATCAATAATAACATATAAATAAGATCATAAAACGTACACATTACAGCCTCATTATAACACGATAAATACGCCCCGGAGCGTCAGAACGGTGCACCATTGTAGGAAACCCGCCATCAATGAAGAGATTTCCCATCTCGGACTTGTCACTTTTTCGCCGATAAAAACAGCATAAAACGACACGGAAACGGCACATTGTCAGACAATGTAGTGATTACGCTAAGACTTGACCTTCACGCTTGCAATTTCAACAATCGCGACAACTTCATATATGAGGCGATTTTCTTCCCCACAAAAGAATCGTTCAGGAGGAATGGTCCAATTATTCGACATTGTCCGAAGAATTTGGTTTATGTGGATTTATGGCCGATGGTGGGCAGTGAAGGAGGTTTGACAGTTAATGCAAGGGTTGAGTTATTGTCGGCAACCAGCACAGAGTATGTAAATGTTGAGGGTAAGAGTGATTGACGAATAGCACCAATCAACCGCTAAATAACGTCCTGGATCGACGTTGACATGGAAAAGTCGAGGCGTGAAAAAATCTGTATGTTTCGTTGGGAATTTTCGATTTTGGTTGGCAGCGTCGCGACCATTACTCAGGTGAATCTACATACTGGTTCAGAGACAATGGCCACTTGATTTACGGCCAACATTTTAATTCCAGACATAATGTCTCTTTGATTTGTGACGATGTGATCAAGAACATTATCAGCAGCCGGACACAAATCAAGTCCTGTCGCGGAATTTGCAAAAGAAAACCGTCATAAATAGAAAAAAAGCCGGCTAGACCGGACTATTAGCGGCCTTAAACGGGGCCATATTCGTCCATTGTCTCGCTTTTTCACCTCCAGACTACTAACCCGATTTCTACTTGCCATTACAGGACAATTCCAGCCATTTTTTCGTAGAAAATCGCGAAAGTGAAACTCTGATTTATTGCACGCACTTCATCCGCAAGCCATTCCACTTGATATAACAAACCTAAAAAATTAAACAACTCGAAACCATTTGGAATATCAGAGTATCCAATCTCTTTTAATCTGTATCAAGTAATTCTCCTAGGCCCACTTCAGGAAAAATGAAGGCATTCCCGAACAAATGAAATGTATTCCCTCGGGACACATGTGTACATTATTTAGAACCAACGAGTTCTACTCTATTCTACTCACTTAATTAAAACAGTTCAAATCTCCCGCCATGAGCCGATAATACAGACACCTATTCGCAATCAATCAAATCATCAGGGAGACGGCTTCAATCAATCAGCACGCCACTGCCTTTAAGGTTAAATCAAAACAACAACAAAAACAACATAAAAAACACTAAATAGCACACTTACCATAAAAAACGATGCAACAAACGCCGGTCCAACAATACAGATGCAAAGTCTTAATTACTTCAAGTCTTTTTTTGCGCACAGCACACAAAACAAAAGCCTGCTACGAAAAAGTGACACTTGTCGTTGCAAATTCATACAAAAAAATTATTCACTGCGATAAAACCAAAAAATAAACCTTAATAAATAAAATAAATACAATTTTAAATAATAGTTTTGCCAGCAACAAAAAATTAAGGTTAAATAATTTAACCGCGACTAGCGACACCTAACAGTCACCATCTGCAACTTGCGTTCAGTCTAAAAATTGTTAGATGTCGCACTGGCCCTGCCTACTTGAAAGTTTCAAATTTGTGTGAGAAAAAGTCGGAAAAATTGGTAAATGATTTATTAAAATGGATTATTTTTACAAATTAATAATTTATTAAAGGGGTTTATTTTTACAAACTATCTTTATCCACTTCTACAATAGCCTCTTTGGGAAATTTGGCGAGTAGTTGATCAGTGGCGGCTTTGACCGAATTTTCATTTGTTGACTCCATTGTTATTTTGACTTTGTACAGTCTGAAAATGCATTATTTCGTGAAAAATCTGTAAAAATCCACAGAAAACATACTTGTGGAACAATTTCGGGTACGATCCGACTTGTACATCCGGAAAATCCGCCGCTAATTTCCCCAATTCCTCCGCGATTTTATCCTCTGTTAAATTCACATAGAGTGCCTTGCAGTGGAAAACCGTCTCATCCGATTTGAACAACTTCGTGCTCAGACTGAGAAAAGACCTCTGGAAAAGCTCAGGTATGCCTGGGAACATGTACACATTCTCAACTGAGACATTAGGATAGTTATTTTGATCCGAAAAAGTCAATTTTGCCGTTTCTGGAACCTGAAATTGACTCAGATTTATTTGGTTTTTTCAGACATGGGGGCTGCACCATGGCGAGTTTCATGCCAGGATGGTTGGCGTCCGTCGTTTGGTAGAACTTCTCGCATAATTTGCGAAGATGCGGGTTGAGGACGAGCGGGATCCCAAAGGCTTTGGAGACAGCTGCAACATGAGTCTTGAGACCAGGTTAGTGGCCTTAAATGTGATACCTTCAAACGTTACGTCATCATGTGTGGGGCCTATGCCCCCCGTCGTGATGACATAATTGTACAATTTAGTGAAATTGCGGATTTCGGTACTTATTTCGTTAATTTCGTCACCTATAACAGAAATCTATCCAAGTTTATTTGTGATTTCTCGGGCCTTCGGCCAACCTTTTTGACTTTGACGCCTATGTTGTGTAGTTCCTTTGTAATACATGGAGAATTTGTGTCGATTACTTCGCCCTTAAGAAGCTCGTCTCCTATAACTATTACTCAACAATAATTCAGTCTGAAAAGCATGAGACTAACCTAAAATTCCGGCTGTTTTTATTTGATTTGAGGTCATGTTACGTAAGTGATATGAAGGCCTTATTAACTTCGACGTAGTAGTTAAAGCCATGTGTTTTTTTATTAATAAATAACGAAAACTGAAGTTTTGTCAAATATGAACAAACAGCTGACTTTGACGCAAACTTGAGACATGAGTTGCGCAGTGGTATACAGAGTGTTCCAACTTGGAACACCGAGGAGTAAAATGGAGATTCTCGGAGCGCTCCGAGTGCCCGGATTGCCGAAGAATGGTCAAAGTTGCCTCCAGATTTCGTAACAGCATTGTTTATTTCTTATGAAAAGGAATAATAGCACTAGGTATTTTTTCTATTATTTCCAAGTTTTGTTCTTTATGTTTTTTTTTTCTATTTCGGTGTTAGAATAAGTCTATTCCAGCACCCAAATGACGTCATTTGCGTGCTGGAATAAGTCGTTCGCGGTAATTTAATTTTCGTGACGGATTTTCTTCACAATTCATTTTCAAATGTGAAAATAAGAATAATTTTTATTTTTTATAGCCACGCATAAATGTCGCCAACCGTCGCGAAATTCTCTAGAAAAAAAAAATTATTTTCGTTTTTTAATTCACAAAATGATATAAAGCGGCGAAATAGAAAAAATAGTATAAAGCACTTGTTGCAGAAGGTTCTTCAAGTACTCATTTGTTCCTCAACTCGCCGCTTCGCGGCTCGTTTCGGAATTTCAAATTTGTGCTTGAACCTTCTGCAACTTGTACTTTAATATACTATTCTTTTTTTTTTTTTTGTATAAATAATTAATAATAAAATCTTGAGCCATAGGTCAAAACGGTTTGTGCAGGCGATTCTCCGGTTAATTTTACATGTAGTAGGTACTAGTTTTTCATAAGAATAAAAAAAATTTGATTTTTCTATCAGAATCGGATATAATGCCCATGCTTCTAGTCTTATTCTTAAATTTATTACTCAATATCTTAAAAAGCATGCATCGTATAGTATTTTAACCTGTTGCATTGTGTTCAGCGCGCAATTTTACGTCTAGAACATCATATTTCAAGCGTTTTTACGACTTAAGGTAAATTGACAATTTTTTTTAAATTTTACATATAAACCTAGTTTTTCATAAGAATAAAAAAAATTTGGTTTTTTGGTCAAAATCGGATATTTCTAGCCTTAGTCTTAACTTTTTTACTCAATATCTCGAAAACTATTTATCGTGGAGTATTTTAACTTATTGCATTGTGTTCAGCGCGTAATTTTACGTCTAGAAAACCATATTTTAAGCGTTTTTACAACTTAAGGTAAATTGACTATTTTTACGATTTTACTACCGCTCATCTTCAAAAATTCAAAAATTCAAAAATTTCGAAATTTTTAAAACTTGACCCAATGGCGTTTTATGCACTTATTTGAGTCTTTAAGACCTCTAGAAATGTAAAAAACGTTAAATGGATCAATATTAAAGTTGAAAATTTATGTGATTTTTGTCGAGATTTTGGTCGATTTTTGGAACCCGGAGCGGTCTATTACCAATAACTCCGGACTTATTGGTAATAACCTCTTATATTTGGTACCGTTGGAAAGAGAATTTAATTTTCTATCATATACAAAAAAGATCAGTGTTCTGTGGTAAATAGTTATTGAGAAAATTTCTGATAAAGTTGAAAATTAAACTAAATCCGATTCGATTTTAAGCTGAAATAACGCAATTTGTGATATCTTGAATCGATTTGGCTCAATTCTAAGGTGGGAAGTATTAAAATCGAGCAAAATTGGATTGAAAATTGCTCAAATTGCTTTATTTTAGAAGAAAACTTAACTTCAAAACTATTACGAATTTTGCAGTTTTCTTGACGCTATCAATTCCCCAGAACATTTTACATAATGTCTACGTCAAAATATTATATCATTGAAGTAAAGATTTGCCGCTTTTACAAAATAATAAAAAAAGTAAAAATTTGTTATTCGCTCAACTTTTTTCAACAACCACCTTCCAAAAAATTTTTGACTAATCTCTTCTCAGTATCGGATGGGGGAGTGGAAAGTTGGATAGCTTTGAGATGAGAGCCAAATGAGTCGAGATACTGAGCTAATTGTAGAGATAATTTATTTGTTAAATGTCTATCTAGTCTAGAATCACAACATTTATGAGGATTTTGTGAAGAAACAGTCGTATTTGTCTGTGTTGGGGTGTGGATTGGAAATAAGTGTAGATGTGTGTGTAAATCATTTACATAATTTATTTATTTTTAATTATAGATAAATACTACAAGATCTACTTAATTATATATAATATTGAGCATCCGTTAATATACAAGTAGTCGTCTAAGCGTTCAAGTAGCAGAAATATTTTTTGTAATTTAAATAGTCGGTTTAAGCTACATAAAATATGCACTTTCTGCTAGTCAAACAACTCAGACTCGTTCGGGATACGCAACACAAATAACACTAATTATTATAAGAGCCCATGGGGTATATCAAATGGCTTATCAAAAAACGACACTTGAAAAAATCTAATTACAAAAATTGTAAAAAATTTCAGTTCAGTCATAATATAAATAAGTAGTCGAAAAAAGTATACGTGTGCATCACCAAAATTTGTTGTTTTATCGTGCGATTTCCACATGCACATGAGGGACTCGACCAAGTCCGCGCAAAAAGGCACAAAACCTAAGTTATACAACAGATTAGAGTTCATTTTGGCACCCGAGAATGCTTTATGTTAAAGTTCGCGACTATAATCAATTATATAATTGTCTTATCACTTGCACAACACTCCTGACTCGTGCATTGTCACTATTTTTCTTCGACGACTCATCTTCTCCTTCGCGATTCCGCCGCGGCTATCATCTGCCTCAACATCGGCTCAGGACTGCAAGCCTTCGGATCACATTTCATTTGACCGTTGTCGCCACATCTACAAAAGAAAAACATGAAATAAATCGCATACAATTTTTTTTCTACAACACTTACATGCAGTGGAGGCAAGGTCCCGACGCTGATTTAATCTCCTCACCGACTTGATACGCTTTATTTCTTATCTGACATCCGCTCCTCTGGGCCCTGCCCTTGTAAGCGTGCGAGAAGAAGTGCGGAGGTAGTGTGGTTGTCGTTGTTGTGGTGGTCGTTGTTATATTGACAGAAGTTGCCATAGAAACGGGGCATTCGTATCTCGGGCAACAGAAACCACGAATAGGTTCTTCGTGGCATCGCGGGATTGGCGGAGGACAGCTCTGTTGCAAACAAATGATATCGCTGCGGAAGCAAAAGCAGAAATCACAAGGATCATCGCGAGGGATTTGCTGAGCAGAAACGTAAACTTTGCCGCCGTATCGACAAGTACCAGGGCCGAAGGCACTTTGGTCCTCTTCGCCGTAGTCTTCCTCCTCGACGGGGGCTTGGTAGTCAGGCGATTCGGGCATGCTGTGAGGTGGTGGCAGTGTTGTAGAACTGGTGAGAGTGGTGGACGGAGCGGAGGTTGATAGTTCACCAGTGACGCTTTTCTTGGTTGATTCTTCAGTAGTTGGACCCGAAGTGTATAATTCGGTGGTGTTGGGCTGAGTGGTTGAAGTGAGTGTTGGGGAAGTGAAAACTTCAGGTTTGGTTGATGTTTCGGGGATTTCTTGGCCTTCGCCGGGGATTGCCGGTCGAGGTTCGGTGGTTTCTTCACCACTGATTGGAGATCGTACCGTGGTAGGAACTTCAGTTGATTTTTCTTTTTCTTCTTCGAGACTTGGAACTATAGGTCTTGTTGGAGCTTCTTCTTCGCCTTCTTCAGGTTGTTGTCCTTCTGGTAGTGCAGGCACTGCCGTCACTGTAACTACCGGTTCTGTTGCTTCTTCTTCCGTTGTTTTAGGCGCTTCGCCTTCGCTTGGAATATGTTCAGGACGAATAGTAGTTTCGGGTTTATAACCGATAGTCGTGTAACTTTCTCCTTCTTTTTCGGTAACTCCACCTTCTTCTGGTACATGCTCATGATCAGAAGTAGGAGGAATGTAAACAAATGGTTTAGTTTCCTTTTCTGTGACTTCAGATTCCTCTCCTCTGGGAGTGGTTTGGACAGAAGGTTCTTCTTTTTCTGGAATTCCAGGCTCGGTACTTCCTTCAGGAACGTAGCCAGTTTTAATTGTTGTGACTTCAGGTTGTTCGACACTCTTAAGAGTGGTACCCTCGGACTCATATCCAGGTTTAGCTGTGATTTCTGGTTGTTCGGTACCTTCGGGTTCATAACTAGGCTTAACTGTGATTTCGGGGTGTTCGTCACTCTTAACAGTAGTCTTTTCGGGCTCATATGCTGGTTTACCTGTGACTTCAGGTTGTTCGACGCTTTTAAGAGTGGTACCCTCGAGCTCATAACCAGGTTTAATTGTGATTTCTGGTTGTTCGGTACCTTTGGGTTCATAGCTAGGCTTAACTGTGATTTCGGGTTGCTCGATCTCTTTAAGAGTGGTACCTTCAAGTTCATAGGTAGGCTTGGCTGTGATTTCGGGTTGTTCAGCACTCTTAAGGGTGGTACCTTCAGGCTCATATCCAGGTTTGGCTGTGAATTCTGGATGCTCGACAGCTTTAACAGTGGTACCTTCAGATTCATAGCTCGGCTTGGTTGTGATTTCGGGTTGTTCAGCACTCTTAAGTGTGGTACTTTCATGCTCATATCCAGGTTTGGCTGTGATTTCTGGCTGCTCGACACCTTTAACAGTGGTTCCTTCGGGTTCATAGAAAGGTTTGACTGTGATTTCTGGTTGTTCAGCACTTTTAAGAGTAGTACCTTCAGGTTCGTAGCTAGGTTTGACTGTAATTTCTGGTTGTTGTCCTGCAGCTTTAATAGTGGTGCCTTCGTGTTCGTAACCAGGTAGAGCCGTTGTGATTTCGGGTTGTTTAGCTTCATGACTAGGTTTAACTGTAATTTCTGGTTCTTGTCCAGCAGCTTTAATAGTGGTACCTTCGTGTTCGTAACCAGGTAGAGCCGTTGTGATTTCGGGTTGTTCAGCTTCATGACTAGGTTGCATTGTTGTAATTTCGGCCTTTTCAGCGCCTTCAATTTCGTGACTAGGTTGAGCTGTAGACCCTTCGAGTTCTCCGACACTTTTAAGTGTAGTAGCTTCAGATTCATAACTGGGTTTAGCTGTAATCTCTGGTTGTGCTTCATCAGTTTTCGGAGTACTTCCTTCATGTTCATAGCCAGGTTTAGCTGTAATTTCTGGTTGTTCAACCGCTTTCGAAGTACTGCCTTCGGATTCATAACCTGGTTGAACGGTTGTAATATGCGGTTCTTCAGCAGTCTTAGCAGTACTACTTTCAATTTCATGAGTAAGTTGAACAGTTTCTGGGTGTTCTTCAGCTTTGGCAGTACTGCCTTCAGGTTGCACTGTTGTTCCTTCTGGTTGTTTGGTTCCAGGGGCAAGTTCCGGCAAACCTTCGGCAGATACATAACGAGGAGTAGTATGTTCCTCTCCGCCAACTCTTTCAGTAATTCCAGCTTCCGGTTTGTGTTCTGGCATTTCTTCGGCTTCAGTAGGTTTATGTTCTGGAAGTACAGTAACCACTGGTTCAGTAACACCAACTGCAGGAACATGAGCAGTAGTGACTTCAGGTTCTTCAACAGGTTTGCCTTTTTCGCTTGTTTTTTCAGGTATTTGAGGAACTTGAGTTGCACCTTCATCGTGTGTGGGAAGCTGGCCTTCTTGCGTTTTTTCAGTTACATGGCTTATACTTTCAGGGACCTTCTCTGTTGCACTTGGTTCGGTAGCAACTTCAATAATCTCTTCTTCAGTTTCTTGTTCTGGAGCTTTTCCTTCAGTTACAGGTGCTGCGGTAGCTGGTATTTCAATTTCAGTAACATGATCTTCATGTGGTTGAGCGCCTTCATCGTAGTGAGGTTCTTGTTCTTTAACACCTTCAGTAACGTGTTCTTGTTGTGATGTAATGCTTGGTATTTCAGGTAATTCTTTTTTGCCTTCAGTTACAGCTTCTGGAAGTTTAGTTTCAGCTTCAGGAATACTGGGTTTGAGATATTCAGTTGTTGCAGATGCAGATTCTTCTTTTCCAACTTCACCTTTAGGAACGTATTCTCCAACCGGTTCAGTAGCACTCACTGGACCTTCTTTCGAAGGTTCGGTAGTTACTTTAGCTTCTTCTTCAACAGAAGGTTCAGAACTAGCTTTAAGAGCTGGTTCAGTAACTAGTACTGTAGTTCCTTCATGAGCAATTTCAGTAACACCCGCTGTCACACCTTCAGTAACAACTTCAGGAACACTTTCTATAACACCTTGAGTTACAGCTGGAACTTTTCCTTCAGTCTTTGGAATTTCAGTAGCAGGAGCTTCTCCTTCAATTGGTTTCTCTGGCCCTTCTGTTGCTTTTTCTTCTTCTGTTTCCGTAACAAAAACTGGATGTTTTTCTGTTACAAGTGCCGGCGATGGAGTTGTTATTTCTTCTTCTTCTTGTTCCGTTACTGTTGGGTCTCGGCCAGAATCTATTACATGGGAATATGTATGATCTTCTATGGCATTTTCTCCTTCATCAGGATGCACTTCATCATGTCTTACATCTTCTGGGTAGTCCGTAGTAACATGAACTTCTGGTTGTTGTTCGCTTTCAGAACTAGATTTGAGTGTAGTAGCTTCGTGACTGATTTCTGTAGGTTGCAATTCTCCTTGTTTTTCTGTAACTTGTCCTTCAATCTTTTCTGTTCCAGTTGCCGTTTCCACGGGCACTTCAGTATGAGCAGGTACTGATTTGATCGTAGTAGCAGGTGGAACGTAACTTTCTGGCGTTACACTTGCTTCGCTAACTCCAGGTTGTTCATGAGTAACATGTTCTTCTGGTAGTGAATATTCTGGCAATTCAGTCGAATCGCGGCTGGATGCTGTCGTACCTTCTGGTTTAACAATACCTTCTTCGCTTGGTATCAAGATATTAACACCGACAGTGCCTGGGATTGTTTCTGTGGTAGATATTTCGACTTTGTGACTGTCTGATTCCATGCTAGTTACTCCAGGTACACCTGCAAATAGACAAAATAATAGTTTGCCAATTTATTAATTGAAGTTAACTTACTGCAACTGTATGTTGGACAACAACTGTCAGGTCCTTGATACACAGGCATACAGTGTTGTAAATTCGAAGGAGGTGGTGTACAAGTTACAGACTCGCACTGCAAGATTGAACTCATACATTTGCAAGACACTTGACAGTGGTTGATTGGTGGAACGTTGGAGTTGTTTTTGTATGTTTGTCCATCAACCAAGCAACTGCCTTCTCCAGGTATTCCAGGTTTCTCTTCTTCTTCCACACCTTCATGACCAGCATGAGGATAAGTAGGTTCTTCTGTAACTTCACCAGAAGGTTCTCCTGGAGTGTTCGAAGTTTCAAATTCTTCACTTGGAATTCTTGAAGCATCAGTTGCTTGTTGTGGAATTTCTGTTTCTTTTTCCTTGGGTTGTTCTGTTACTTTACCAATTGCAGATTCGGTTTCTTGTTCTTCTTCAACTGGCATTTGTGGTAATCTGGGAGTAGTACCTTCAGCTTCTTCACTAGGTTTAATAGGAATGTGAGTTTCAGCTTCGTGTTCTGTGACACTTTTTTCAGTTTGTCCAATAAGAGATGGTTTAATTGTGGTTTTGCGTGTTTTCTCGGTTTCAGCTTCTTCTGAAGGTGCTGAAGTTGCAGTTTCGGTTTCAGTTTCTGGTACTTCGGGTACTGCCTTTTCTGTTTGTTGTTCAGGAACTTCGGGCACGTGATCGTGTTCCACAGGATAATTTTCAGGGAGTTCACCTTCTACGGGAGTTGGTTCTTCAGCATATTTTGTTGTTTCATCAAGTTTTCCTTCAGTAATAATTTCTGGTTTTTCTTTTACTTGTCCTTCTGTAACATGTAGTTCTTCTTCTGGATGTTCTGTTATTTGACCTTCATCAGCATGTGGCTGTGGAACTTCAGTGACTTGACCTTCAGATGCTTCCGTTTCTCTTCCTTGTTCAGTCACATGTGCCTGAGGTTGTTCGGTCACCTTACCTTCATCCACATGTCCTTCAGTAATATATTCTGGCAATAATGTTGTTCCTTCAGGAATGTGTTTTTCAGTTACGTGTCCAGCTGGTTGTTTGGTGGTTTCAACTCCAAGAACCGGATGTTCAGTAATATGTTCCTTTTCTGGCAATTCAGTAGCTTTATGAACATGCTCTTCCGTTGTATGTTCAGATGGTAGTTCAGTAACTGGACCAACAACAGCAGGAACATCTGTAGCGTGTTCTTTTGGTTGTTCAGTAGGTTCTTCTCCAATCTTGGCCTCAGTAACATGCTCCGCTGGCAATACAGTTGGACTTTCACTTTCTGGACCTTGAGTAATATGTTCTTCCGGTAATTTAGTACTTTCTTCTTCGACTGAAGGTTCTTTAGGCACTTCGTGTTTTTTGGAAATTTCTTCAGTAACATGTTCTTCTGGCAATTCGGTACTCTCACCTTTAGCTTGTCCTTCAGTAACTTGTTCTTGCGAAGTTTCAGTTTCAGTTTCTGGTCTGTGCGTAGTGTGTTCTTTAGTTTTTTCGACAGGTATAAGTTCTTCTGGTACTACTGTAATAATTTGTTCTGGAGCATGTTCAGTGACCGAACTTTCAGTCACGGAAGGTAATTTTTCTTTCTCTTGTTCTTCTGGTACTTCAGTAGCATGTTCTCTAGGCAACTCAGTTCCTTCTTTTGGTAATTCAGTACCTTGTTCTTCTGGCAACTGTGTAACATGTTCTTTTGGTAATTCTGCAATATGTTCTTTTGGCAATTCTGTAGCATATTCTTTGGGCAACTCATGACCTTCTGTTACTTGTCCTTCAGGTATTTCAGTAGGATATACCAAATCTTTAGGCGGCAATCCAGTAATTCCACCTTCTGGTACATGTTCTTCTGGCACTTCTGTACCTTCACCAGCAGCTGTTGGTATTTCAGTGACCTTTTCTCCCAATCCATGTTCTGGTACAACACCTTCTGTCACATGTTCTTGTGGTACACTTTCTGGTACTTGTGGTATTTCACCGGCCTTGACGGTCTGTGTTTCCGTTACGTGTTCTTCCGGCACTTTGGTACCTTCTTCAACTGGTTGTTGGCCTTCTTCTTCCCCTTTAGGAACATGACCGGATGGAATTTGCGTAACACCAACTTGTTCCTTTTCTGTTACTTCCGGAATATGTTCTTCTTGTGGTATTTCGGTGCCTTTACCGTCTGTTCTTTCAGTAACAGCTGCCATTTCATGAGGCAAACCGGAACCAATTTCAGGTGCAATCTCCGTAACGTGTTGGATTACATGTGGGTGTTCAGTAGTACCAGCTTCAGGTTCTTCCGGCCCTTGTTCGTGTGGCAGTTCTGTTCCTTTACCTTCATGTGTTTCGTATTCAGTAACGTGTTCTTCTTCTTCTTCTTCCTCCGGTTCGTGTTCTTCGACTGGTACGTGTTGTGGTTGCTCATGTTCAGCTTCAGTGACAGTTGGTGGTAATTCGCTAATATTTCCTTCAGTTACATGTTCCGGTTTCTCTGTAATTTCCTGTACCTTAGCTTCAGTTGCATGTTCCGGAAGTTCCGAAGCTTTAGTTTCAGTTACAGTTTCCGGTGATTGTGGCAATTCCGTGCCTTTAGGTATTCCAATTTCGGGACTTTCAGTGGCTTGTCCAGGTATTTCAGTTTCCTGTTCTGTTACTTGACCTTCCCCGGAACCAGCTTCGTGTTCTTCAGTTGAATGTTTTGGATATTCGGTTTCTTGAGGATAAACTATCTCGTCTTGTGATGGAATATGAGGACCAGCAGTTACAATTTCGTGTTCTTCTGGAATTTCATTCGATTCTTGTTCTTGTGGTGCCTTGACAGTTGTTGGTACTTCTTGCGGTTCTGTGACGTGAGCTTGTTCATCGAAAAGTGACGTAACACCTTTGACTGGTTCTTCGTGATCTTCCTTTTCAGGTATTTCAGGAAGTTGTTCTGGATGTTCTTTTTCAGCTTCGCTCGGCACAACTGTAACAGGTTCTTGTGTTTCACCTTCTTTGCCTATTGGTTGTTGTGTTGTCGCAGGTTCAATTTCTGGTCGAACTGTTGCTTTTTCATCAAAGCTGACAAGTGATGGAGTTGTGTACAAATACCCAGTCGTAAGGTCTTCCTCAGTCATGTGATCGCAGTCATAAGAGTCAGCACAGCATTGTCCTTCTTTCGGTGGTAATGCCGTACAATTGACTTTGTCGAGTGGAGTAGGATTGCATTCTTGAACAGCACACACAATATCACCTCTCATGCAGTAGCAATGTTCGCATGGTTTTTCTTTGATGACTAGAGCACCATCAGCGTATACTTCGTTATTGTAGACGCAGTCGACCGGTCCAGCGAGAGTCGTTGTTGGAGCTTGTGTTGTTGTGGTAATTAGTCTTCTGGTGGTCGTTTCTAGAAGGTTGTAATCGGGATGTTCTGTAATTATCGCAATTAGAACGCCAAGAACTCGAAGGGTTTCAAACGTGGCTTACCGCAATCGTACCGAACTGGACAACATACACCTTCTTGATAAACTGGTTTGCATCCTTCGACTTTAAGCGTACATTCTTGCATGACACAGGCCGTTTTGTTCCTGATGCAGTAACAAAGTTCGCACGGTTTGTTGGGATCGGACGGTACTCTCGCTCCGTCTGAATAGAACAGTCCATCGATGGAACACCCGTAAGCATCCAAATGACCGACCGCTGTCGACGATTGGGTGGTAGATGTCAAAAGTTGAACTGGTACTAAAAATAAAACCATTAATACTGTTCGCTTCATTACTTGATTGTCGTACCTTCAGGGCAGGTTATAACAGGACAGCATTGATCCGCTCTTTTCTCGATTTTGCAGTCTTGACCGATTGCTTTTGTAAACGGACATACTCTTAGGTAACACATGAGCATCCTATTATGGCAAGTACAATTCAAACATGGCTCGTTCGTGATTATCCTGTCTCCTTCGTCGTAATGTTGGAAGTTGTAATAGCAACCGGTCGAATCGGCGATTGGATAATATTCGATTTCTGTCGTGTCTTGTTCGTACGGGGCTGCATCATAACAAAAATTAGGTTAACACCATGGGAAAAATAAATGTGGACCAGTATTCCGCGACGTACAGGTCAGTGACAAAATCAAGGACAAAATAGGAGCGGTACGAGTACTACTTTGCATAATAATATATGAACCAATACTTGCATACAAGTAGCTAAATGTTTAATATAAGTCACTGATGAACACTTTAGTGAAAGACACCGACAGCAAAGCCAAGAGAACCAAAATTGACATTCTTACCTCATCCTATCAGATGTTTCTTTATTCAATTTTTAAAAGTAGAATTCTTTCAAAAAAATCTGTATGGGTACAAAGAGGTCAACTGGCAAAGCCTTGACTCATACTCAAACAGTCTACCGTAAATAGGTGCGAATATTTGCATAGCCGATTAAATCGACCACCTGTCTCCAAACAAAGGTGGTACCTCTCAAAGTCCGGATGAGTGCGGGTTTATCGTCTTTCACACATAATAACTTTCCTAATTTTGGTTGTTTAGCTGGTTCCTCAAAGTGGAACCCGGTCGTCGAACTTGCACGAAAAAGAGTGAATTTGTCGTATTTATGCAAGGAGGTTGTCGTCGATGACGATGATATTCGCGTTTCGATCCTGTCCCCATGTCTTCTGTAACTGTAAATCCGGTTACATAATCACGATCCGCGCATATATCGCGTCATTTTCGAATGCAAAACGTATGCACGGAGGAAAAGGCGGCCTGGTAGTCGGCGTGGGAGAACCATCAGACGTCCGAGGAGACTGCTTGGGAGGTCAAGACGCGAACCTCGACTTCCAGCCGATTCGATTTTACACATGCCTCGTAAAAAGTGTGCTTTATTAGTAGCGGCTGTAATTACACACCGGATCGGGTTACCGCCGCCACACGAAAAACACCGCAAATCGACCCATTAACACCGCAGACGTTCCCGGTGGCGATACTCACGACTGACACCAGCATACCATCGCACATATTTGAATAAAACATCACGCGAAATATTCCAGACGCATGCTGGATGTGTTCCAATGAAGTTCGAGAAATTGCGGTTCTTAAAATTGGATACTTCGCATTGAAATTCATTACGTGCATTGTCTAATTGAATATGCATGGACAGTTGACGGTATTACATCTGTTACATTATGTTGACAACGTAATTTACTAGTTCACATACCAAATACTAACCTCGAAAAGTAATTGACATGATCTACTTCATACCTAGACGGTATAACAAGAATTTTAACAGCCTTCAAGATGACTTGAAGTGACCCCTTCCTGTATATTTGCATGATGCGATTTTTATTTTTGAAAGAAAGAAAAGTAAATAGACGGGAGACGGACTCCTCTCTCATTTCATTTACCTTCTTTAATTGCAGACACAAGGTCGAAACGAGAAAATACCGAAAAGCAATCAAACGAAAAGTTTTTCTCTGATAAAACGATATATCAAATCTCTCACGTAGGTCTAATGACCCCAAGAAACTGTACCGAAAAGTAAGGAAAAAGTGAAAGAACGGTATTTATTGATCGTGTTTGTCTTCGACAAGAAACTGTATTTCTTGTTTGTCTAAATGACAATGCAGCATCCATTCCAGATTAGAACGATTAAAACACATTTTCCAAATTTGGTTCTTTTATTGCTCAAAACACAAAAAAAAACATTTCAAAACGTCTTTCAGCCTTTTCTAATTTTATTTTTTGCATTTCTTTAAAGTAACAGAAACCAAAATAAATAGGAAAACCTGATTGGTATGCATCACATCCATCCCTCAGATACAATATTTGACAATATTAACTTTTATTAACTTATTAATACACAAATGATTAATATTCTATTCCCGTTTTATAAAAATCTCTACAGAATTTAAGAACTTGGTCGTTTTTTCACAGAGAAAAGTCATTTTAAGAAAAAAAGGTCTGTTGAGGTTAAATGTACCAACTTTTTTTGGTAAATTAATAAATTAATAAATTAATTACTTTGATGTTACTTAAAATTATTATTTTTGCTCAATTTTTGAAATACATAGGTACTGACAATGTAAGTAGAAAATAAAAAACCAAAATATCATTTGACAAACCGTCAACTTATTCAAGTTATTAGGTATAGATGTAGAAACCATATTTTGGTAAAATTCAATAATGCTTAAAGGCTTAAATATTTTTTATTTAAATTGGTATAAAATTTGTCGTCAAAAGTTATAAAACACAAAAAATACCCATCAAGGGTCATAATAAAGTAATTTGAAATAAATGTCTTCAGTTAATTTTCTACAAATACGTATTACAAGTTTGTTTTTTTCTTTTTCCTGTGTTCTCCATTCATTGAATATAACTTTTACTCGCTATCACTTTTAAAGGCGTCTCGTAAAACAAGAAAACCTGAGCAATTTATGTAAATTACGATTTGAATTAATTATCTTAATGAAAGAATTCGATGTTTATAAATTTTATTTTCCTAGTTATTTTTACAACGGCATTGAGATTCATCTCCCGACAAAAACACATTAAAGATGATTTTATCGTAAAAAAAAGTGACGTTAATTGAAATAAATGTGAGCTTTTCGTACATGATGTGTAATGAAAATAACAAATATAAATACATATCCACAAATATAATTACGCGTCTAACTGTTCAAATAGTTCACCTTGATCTTTGCTGTTCTTTTGTATGATACGTGGTAGTCGTCATAATTACGGACCGTTAAAATACTAAGAAACAAGTGTCATTGTTTCACAGCAACACCGGACTTGGTTTAAATTTGTATCATCCTCTGATGCGATTACCGGAGTTGTTGGTTTGGAAAGCGATCAAAGCAAAAGCGACTTACCGGCTCGTACAGCTTGTGGTGCCCAAAGGACGACGAACAGGAGCAGGACCGGCCCTTGGAAAATTCGAGTCCACGCCGCCATGGCGCGTCCTGTAACAAGAAAAAAGATGGCATTCAGCACGCGTTCGTTGCTCTCGATTTGTTTCTTCCGTGGCGATCGCGATTTCATAGTCGAGTTTTTTCCATGGGGTCTTTGACAGAATGGATAAAGGTTGTTGCAGTCAGTGGGTCCGTATTGCATTTTAATGAGTTTTGGAGGCTCCTCGACGGCAATTTTCCTCAATTAAATCGCATTGTTACAAACGTTTAAGTGTCATTTTCGGGTGGTAAAAATAAGTGTTTGCGTCTACAGATCGAACGAGTTGAGCAAACTGGCCGTGGGCCGGCGACACTGTTTTTCCCATGAGACGCCTTATTTACTCGTCAAAGCAAATGTTTGTCTAATTTGAAAGCTCGCGAAAGCTCCGGAGCGGTCCGGGGCTCCGGAAGATGCGTCTCGAATCCGGTCTTACCGTTTTTATCGTCTGACCAACGAGCTATATTTACCAGCAACCTGTTGGAGGACAATGTCAATGACTCGCCGCAAAAAAGCTTAATGATTCATCAAGGAAAACGACTCGAATGATGTAAGGAAGGATTTAATTCGAAGCTTGGCGGACAACCTTGACGAATTACCTAACAATAACTGTGTCATTAACGGCCGAATATTCCGGGGACCGGACTCAAAACGGGATGGGATTTTTACAGAGATGTCGTACGACCGGTTACTGGACGATTAAAGCCACTTTTGCCATTCGGTTACAGTTAAACGTAAGTTATAGGGCCATTATAGTGAAATTATTTAACCGGAAGGTTACTGGGACAATGAAACCTGCACCGGATTATTTCTTCGAACCGAATTGATTCACCGGATTTTCCTCCGATCGGCTAATTATTGAACCGAATGCAAACAAAATAAAATAAATAACTCGAGATTCTTCTCCGTGTTTGTAGATACCTGGACCGATAGCCGTGGGAACTAGATAATGTTTGGAGACTAACACAGGGATGCAAAGTACGTTGGCAAACAGTCGGTGGTTAGCAAAGAAACGACCAGTTTACATACAACTCCACGAAAAAAAATATTTTTTTAATATTTTTTATGTGTTACCCCAAAATCACTGCAATCCTCACCACTGCACTTTTTTCCGGTCGAATTTATGAAAAATTTCAACACCAACACTCGGAGCACTCCGGACTTACCTCTTCGCAGATTGTCGATGAAAGAAAAGAATATATGAAATAAACTCGGCACCGACCGGCAATGCGATGTCGTGTCTCTTTTGTCGAAGAATTTTTTACTTCTTCGGTTCGCGATTTATGTCCAGGAGGTCGACACCAAACCAAGAAGATCGAGCGGACAACCGACCGACCAGAAGTGAACTCATGCGAAGCTGCGCGCCGCAACTTTAAATAGTCGTCGGGGCGGGGGAATTGCTGCTCTTGGGCAACGAGTCTCTGGCGCTTTTACTGCCGTATGTGATTGGTTCGCCCCAGGGTAGAGAAGAAACGGAATGCACGACGCCGACGGCCAACAAACGCCACCCTTGACAGAACACGACCAACAATCGATTCTTTGGAATTTTCACATTTTTTCCAAAAAATTCAAAATTTTCGCAAAAATCACTATTTGAAGGCTACACCATTGAGTTCACATAAATTTAAACAAATCATCAAAAACAAAAATAGAGTCCTGAAACTTCCAATGTGTGGATTCAGGGTGACTCAAGTTTCAGGACTCAGCACAAAAAGTTTATTAGGTATTTCGGGAAATATAAATATAAAAACTTGTAGATTTTTGGTAAGAATTTTGTTAGAATATTCTGAAATAAGATGTAATTTCACTTAAATTATTTGATTTTGACAAAAAGGCAATTTTTTAGTCTGTAGTTTACTCTGTATGAGAACAAACTTTCGTTTTTCAAGTGGCCGAGTTATAGTCTGTGTGGCGTTTTTTGCAAACATCCTGTATATGAAGCAGTTCTTGGTCATACTAGAAGTATAACAGTTATGAAAAAAATGATCCATAATAAGAATATAAAAAGTGGCAATTAATAAAGATTTTTGTTACTTATTAAATTTGATCATAATTTCTTTTTTTTTGGGGGGAAATATTGTAAATGTAGTTTCGATAGCTGACTTATGTTTTTCTTGTGGGAAATACTCGAGTTCCATCAACGAGGTTCGACGTCCTTGGAAAATCGCGGTGATCTCATTTCACCGAAGTAAAATTTTATCAGACCGCAGAATTATGACTAAAATTTCATTATTGTTTTGATTCTTTGAGGGAATTTCCAATTAAAAGACTCGATGATAAACCGAATTTAACAATTTTTAGTGGTGACAGAATTTTTTTATAAAAAACTACCACTGAATTTAAGACTAAATATTTTTTTTAATTTTATACATAGATTCATATAATGATACAAAGACTTTGTAAATCGTTTATTACACGCAATACTTTAAGGGAATTTCCGATTAAGCCACTCGCTGATAAGTACGAATTAACAATTTTGTGTGATGACATAATTTATGTATTTCATTTCGTGATGATCTTGATAATAAAGTTGCAGTCATGCTGGTATTATTACAAAATTAAGCTCGCCAGACGTCTGAATTTCATCTCATTGCATCTTAAAAAATCTCTCAAGTTTTCTCGTGTAAAGTGTGAAAAAAAGTCGATTCCCATAATCGGTATGCGTCCGTCTAATTGCATGTTTACTCGTCGTAATTCACTCAAAAGTGAATGAGTAAACACCGTTTAACATAATATTTGTTCTCAAAGATTCTGACGATAAAGCAACGAAATGTAGTATATCACATACCAAGTGATTGACAGTAACTTCAACGTGCGGTCACAACGGTAACTTTTTTCGCAAAATTGTGATAAATCTAGAGTATGGTGATGCAACAGACTGGCGTCGCGACGCTGGACCGGCTTGATAAAATCGTCGCCCCAGCATCAGCGCGCGCCTCTCCCTCGACCTACCCCTACACGTTCTCTATCGAACGATTTCATCTCACAATTATCAACCGAAAAACAAATGTGACTCATTCCTTGGCGAAAATTTCATTTCGAGGGTGTTTCCCCAATGGTGGGAACAGATTCGTATTGTAATTACGTGTGCGGTTGAAAGGAAAATCGCTGATGCTTGCGAAACACTTTCACTGCGCTTCTCGAGGTGGTTAAAGAGGCCAAGAGCGATGGCCAAGTTCAAAGTCACCGGGGTAGGAGCATGTGGCCGGTGATGAATGGGACGGTAATATCCATCTGCAGATTGGGTTGCTCCAGGGACGGATTCGGGAGGAATAACTCCAAATAAAACACGACGAAATGCACCGAGAAGTAGCTATAGTCACTAGTCCGGCCCTGTCCGTTGTACAGATGTTGGTTTTGCTTCATTGGCGGATTTGGGGCATCGGAGGGGTCATAAATCAGATCAATACGATTTGTATTTACTCACTTAACAAAGGACGTGATTAATGGTAATCTGAAGTTACTGCGATAAAACTCGAAAATACAGTTATTTTACACTTTTATTTCCCGATTCTCAATGTGGGCGTTCGAAAAGCCGTCACAAATTATTTTTGATTAATTGTCGAATAAATCGGAGAAAAAATTCCGAATGCATACGTTGTTTCTGACATGTATACCGCGTAGTGTTTCTTTTTGTGGATGTTCTTAATTTGGTGTGTCGGCAGCATGTGCATGCGGGCATGTTATAATTTGTGAAGGAAATTAAGCGCTGCCGGTCCCTCCGAAAAGGTTCAGACGGTTTTTCCCGAAACTGTGCCTCCAGGAAATTTGATATTAGCATCCCGACTTTGGAACAATTTGACATGGAGAGAGAACGTTTACATCAGACTGTCATGCCGAATTCATCAAGGTTGCGGGCTCGAGGGGTGGGAATTTTTAACAAGAGGCTTATAATGGGCAAAAATAAGCACCGAAAATTGGAATGCGGTTGCAAGAATCGATTACGTTGTGTTAATTACAAACAGACCAAATTCGGGGAATAATTAGACAGATGCATGGGCAATGGTCAAGCACGTGCTTGAAACCAAAGAAAGACAGCAATTTTACGTCGAAACTTTATTTTTAAAAATCTCTTGTGGGTGTGATTTTTGGTAAGGCGTGGAAATGATTTCCCCTCGCCGTCACATTTCCGTCGAATCTCGTCTGAATTTTGAACTTTGAACATTTCCAATCGGTGCAAAACCCACATCACGAATACCAAATCCGTGGAATTCGTTTTACACAAACTGTAAAATCCAATATGTAGGTCTCTGCAATAATATCGGTGCGGTGTGGACTGCGGACGTCCCCATCCGGTGCATAAAAATGCCAATATCGAGCCGGAGTCTCTCTCCGGGCGATCGCTTCTGTTAGAATAAAATAATGGTCGGATTTATGTGAAGCAAACGCACACGTAATAAATATGAATGAGTGTTAGTTATTGGAAAGTCATCATTGCCACATTCTCTCACATGGAGCGTGGGAGTCGGTGTCGGAGCAAGTGCAACTGATCTAGGTTAAGAACGAGGCTGTCGCGGTATTCTCAATTGAAATTCGATTAACGAGACAATGCCGGTGGTCACCGGGTCACCCCGTTCGACGACGACGAAGACCAAACGACGAAAAATCAAAATCGGTACTTTATTCCGGTCACGGAGAGCACGGAGGATGCATTATGTACAAGTCGAGCGACGAAAAAATCACTGATTAAATGATTGACATGTCAAACGCAAGAGTGTTATTAGCAATTATTTATGAGGCAAAAATCTAATCGGTATTTTAAAAAACATGGATGTTTCAATCAAAAAAATCCTTCGGTTATTACAAACTTGCAAAACCACCATAGGTGCCGGATTTTAGTCCAATCAATTCTGCGTGGTGCATATAACTGTAGTTGAAGCTTCCGACTGAAAGAAATGTTATTTTAAAGGAGGTGTCAAGTTATTATCGTTAGTAAATAATGACTACACGACCTCTTAAATTAATGCTTTCAATTTTTTTTAACCAGCTTTGCTCCCGTATGTTGAAAAAAGCAGAAGACAAATGAGAATTTAATGATAATTTTTTTAAGAAAACTTCAGATAGCCTATTCGTAAAGTAATTAATATTTGCCAGTAAAAAGATAAAAGAGTTGAGTTCGACATATTCTGGTTTTATTTACGAGGCAAGACTTTGTAACTTTAGAAGCCACTTGCCCCAAGATAGTTGATAAAATGTCATAAAAATAAAGCTCTTGAGATAGGGGAGGTAAGTCTATGTCGATATCGACTTCCGTAACTTTGAAACTTGTTTCATCCTCTATATGACGTCGTAAATTACATTGACAGGATATAATCCTCCTAAATACTTAATAAACTCTCCGAAAATTTGTTTTAAAATTTTTATTACAATTAATTATGAAAAGGATCTCTCATTTATTATTTTAATCGCTCTCCTGCGGTGTTGTCCTCGCTATTAATTAAAGTCACAAAATTCGTTTCACGTCTTTATTGCAAAAACAACAACAAAAAATTCAATTCCTTCCTTCCATTAATGGCGCCACGTCTGCTCTACAATTCTTCTTAAATGTCGCATGTTTAACTGCGGGGGAGGCCATTGTTTTAGGTCCATTTTCGTGTTTTCTTTTCTCATACATAATTCCGTGTTTTCTTTTCAGGGTGAGTTATTTCGACCCTTCAGGTCGGTTGCGAAAAATAACAAATACAAGACATTAAAATTTGAGAGATAAATAATGGGACCCGGTGGTCGAATATCCATTTAAAAGTTTGATTAGATGGACACTGAGTTGGATGAGAATAGGGTGACGATGATGAGGATTTAGGAGTGAGGCTTTGGGTTTTAGGGTGAGAAATATTCTTGTATGGTTTTTGGGTTAAAAATGCATGAAATCGACACTCCCGGCGCCGTATTGCGCATTTTAACGATCGTGAGAGTTGTAGTGTTTCCGATTTTGCTATTCAGGCAAGAGTTGGTATATTTATAGAATAAAATGAAGCACTTGTATTCTTGGAGCCACTGTTGGAGATAAAGCCTCGGTTCAATGCTCCATCGAGCGTCTATTATATCCACCCCCGATGCGTGTTAGCCCTCGGAGGGCCGCCTCCGGTGCCCCCGACAATGCTCTACCGTTAGGTGGCAATTTGGAGCATCGATAATTATTTCGGGGCAGTAATTTGGTCAATGTCAATTCCTAATACAGGCAATTTATCTTTTAGATGCTAAATAACAGTATCCTCTATTCAACGTAAAATCGAGGCGATGGCGCGCCACAAAAAGCGCCCAACGTACGTGAGCCAATTTCTGTTCGTAATTCGATATCGTGTTGTTTTTTGCCTTGCAGTAATCAGCGGCTCAAC